TATATATATATATATATATAAGATAAAGAATGTTTGGGCGGTGGAAAATGTGATGATGGTTTTGGGTGGAGAATATTTTAGAATGAAAAAATTTATATAATATATTTATCTCTTTCCTGAAGAGAAAAAGCTGAAAAAGAGTGAGTGGAAAAGTTTATATAATATATCCGTCTCTCTTTCCTGGTGAGTAGGGATTGGGTTCATAATAATAATAACAACGCTGAGACTCTCAGTGGGGGTGGCCCGAGGAGGGTTCAAGTCATTTCTCTAATAATAATAAGAAAATGAATTGGGTTGCGGAGAGCAGAATCTGAGAGAGATTTCTAAAGAATCTGAGGAGAGAGAAAAGTGCCCTGCCATGGGCAAGGAGTTTGCTGCAAGAGGAAGAGGAGGACACCACAAGACCAGGCGTCGGCCTTTGCGCCGTCGAAGCCGCGGCAGCGGAGGACTTCCGGGGAGGTGTATGCCGGAGTTCCGCAGGCGGTTTGGAGCACTTGCGGTGGAGCTGGTTTTCCGGCGAGGCGGAAAGGCCAAAAAAGGGTTGGAGATTTGAAAGTCATGTTGGCTTGGGCTACCTTGACAGCAGTTGGGTTCTTGCCACTGAGTGTGTCGTGTAAGTAGAAGTTAAGCTTTGTGAGCTTCTCCTTTTTGAAACTGAGCTTTTGGAACCAATCATCCACTGCTTTGGGGCCTTGGGCAATGCCATGAACCACAGGCATTGTTAGAATGAAAAGGTTCTGGGGCGTGATGTTGCAGTGGGTGACGCCGTGTCGGTGGCAGAAGTGGAGGTCGGTGGCAAAGCTACCTCTGCCCAATAGATGACCCAAAAGACATGGTGGAGCCAACAGTGAATGAAACAAAGAATGTGATAATTGCAGCGGCGGAAGCTAAGGTTCGGTGCGTGGTGGTTTCGTTGGATTGTTGGTTTTCTTCGGCGATTGAGGAGGTTTGCCCTTTCTCCATTGCTGCATATGGAGAGAGAGAGAGAGAGAGAGAGAGAGAGAGAGAGAGACTATGTATGTATATCTTTGTTACCCCATGAGAGTGGTGGAGCTTTGTATGGAGAGAAGTCGCCTCTGGTGGCGGCGAACTGGAAGCTATATGTATTGATAGAGATCACAGCGAAATAGGTTGAGGTCCGGCGGGCGGCTAAGGTGAGGTTGCCGCTCGCCGGTGAAGCAAAAATACTAGGTTCTAAACTCGCTCTGATACCATGTTAAAATTAATGTATAGAGAAATAGAGAGAGAATAAATTGTATGTGATGATTGTTATATATTATGTACATGGTTGGTCTCTTTTATATAGGAGATGTGGGTGGAGAGTAGGTATAGTGGAGTAGGTGGAGTAGAGTAGTTTTAACAAAAGTAATTATCTTGTCTTTTTATAATACTTTTATGGCGATGTTTATGCCTAATAACAAGAGATTATATATTTACATGATTTGAAAAATAAGAGAAATAATGAATAAATCACAAAATATTATTGACCGTATTCATGACCATGTGATGTTCCAAACTCATATAATAATGTATACTATCATTGAATGGGGCATGTGCACATGCCACCTAATAGGACGGACCTATCATATTATTTCTTTCCACCAACCAACAATTCATGTTACAAACTTAAAAGGGGAATAGTTTAAGCACAAAACAACCAGCTTCATATTTGTAAGGCTGGCTGATTTTTCAAACATTTTTTTTTGATAAATAAAAATAATAAATAAATAAAATCTAAAATCCAAACAAAAATAATAAATAAATAAATATTTAAAATGAAAATACAACCTTAGGTACATGGTCAGTGCAATTTGCCTATTTTTAACAACTTGCAGATTTATGACATATTTTAAAGCATTGAACCACTTTTGACAGCTACCATGCACGCATACACAGCGCCTTATGTAGATTTCAATAAATCACAAATGACTCCTCAACAACAATGGACAGTAGATAAGAGACAATGCAATTATGCAATATCAAAAGAACGTATAATGTAAGGATAGTTAAAATTAATTAGGTATTAACTTCGTCTACGTTTAAACCAACAGACCATCTCGGATACGCACCATAGCATAAACACAAATTAGCAGCAATCCAAATTAGTACCAGAAACAGAAAAATAAAACTCATAGCAAGCATTACTGAGCCACCCCTAGCCCTCTATGAAAAGCATCACTCTGTTTGGTTGTGTATTTCGTTTTCTGTTTTTTTTTTTTGCTTTCATAGTAAAGAACTTGTTCAATAAATTGTTTCTGAAAACTGTTTTTGGAAAAACATTTCCAAAAACAACCCACTTTACTTTTCTTTCCAAAAACACAAAAATAAAAAAACAAACAACAACCAGCCAGAGTGCATGCCATCCTGGACAATAGCTAAGAAACACTGCAATGGACAAAAGCTACAAGAGACACTGCAATCTCACAAGAAATAGCCATGCAATTAAGGACAAGAGAGTTGATTATGTATCAACTCCGTCTACGTTAAACCATGTCTTTCAGATAAGGTGTGACTAAGCGACTGCTTGGCCACGGATCATAGCATAAACACAAATTAGCAGCCAGTCAATTTGGTACCAAAAACAGAAAACAAAACTCAAAACAAACATTATTGAGCAAGCCCTAGCCCTATAAAAAGCATACCTTCCTAGACATGTTTGTGCACAAAAACAACACAGTTCAATCATATTTACACTGGTTTGAGAAATCAAAGCCGAGGCAGCCTAGCTATCTAGCTTAGAATGGCATTCAAGAAAATGAGTCTGGCAAACTTCCTCTTCCTCCCACTGCTAATGCTACTATTTGTGTCGGGTTCTAACGCTGGAGGGATTGCTGTATACTAGGGTCAAAATGGAAACGAAGGTACTTTAGCGGAGACTTGTGCTACAGGGAACTATGACTTTGTGAACCTCGCTTTTCTTTCGACATTTGGCAATGGTCAGACTTCCATGATCAACCTTGCCGGTCACTGTGATCCATATAGCAATGGTTGCACCGGTTTAAGCTCAGACATTAAATCATGTCAAGCTAAGGGAATCAAGGTGATTCTTTCTATTGGAGGGGGGGCAGGGAGCTACTACCTAGCCTCCTCAGATGATGCTAGACAAGTCGCGACTTATCTCTGGAACAACTTCTTGGGGGGACAATCCTCGTCCCGCCCACTTGGTGCTGCCGTGTTGGACGGAATCGACTTTGATATTGAGGGAGGTACAAACCAACACTGGGATGATCTTGCCCGGTACCTTGCTGGATACAGCAAGCAAGGTAAGAAGGTTTACTTAACTGCAGCTCCCCAGTTTCCGTTCCCTGATGCTTGGGTTGGAGGTGCACTCAAGACCGGTCTTTTCGATTATGTTTGGGTTCAATTCTATAACAACCCTCCTTGCCAATACACGTCCGGGAATGTTGGAAATCTTGAAGATGCGTGGAAGCAATGGATTTCGGATATTCCAGCTAAGAAGATTCTCCTAGGTCTGCCTGCTGCTCCCAATGCACCTGGAAGCGATTTCATTCCCGTTTCGGATCTCACCTCCAAAGTGCTTCCGGCAATTAAGGGTTCTCCCAAGTACGGAGGTGTGATGCTTTGGTCTAAGTACTATGATGATCAGACCGGTTACAGCTCTTCCATTAAAAGCCATGTCTAAAGATGTTTCATAGTACTCATGCGGGTTTCATATGTATCCTATTTACATATATAAATATTGGAATGTATAATTTTCCCTTTTGCATATACAAATATATATATATATATATATATAAGTTGAGTGTGTTTTGAAGGTTGGTTTGATGGCAAATTTTAATAAAGGAGCATCTATACTCTGGAACATCAAAACAACTAGCTGTCAAGGGACTACCAGCCAACCACAATTATGGAGTTGCTATGTTGTGATTATAACATAACATGCTATTGGTTATAGTCCTTTCATTAAGAAGCAATTCTAAAATCTAAAACTTCTTGTTTCTTCAACAATTTCTCATCTCTAGTAGATAGCATAGCTTCCAAATAGCCCAAAGCAATTGTGCTAGCCTAAACATCTAAGTCATCCTAAACATCTAAGTCATACAAGTAAAGAGATGTATTCATTGCTAAGAAAAAAGAAAAAAATATGACCAGATATTGTATTGATAATAATAGCCACTTCATAAAAAAAGGTAGACATGGTTAAAATCCACATCATTTATTAGGGTGATTGAAAAAATCCATATCATCAAATATAAATAAATAAAAAAGGAATTTTTTTTAGCTAAACGATGGTGTGCAATATTGGGCAACCATAGACCCCCACTTACAACATTTAAACCTCCGCGAGAAGTAAAAAAGTATGCATCGCAATTCAACGTGAAAAATGGGATTGCTTGCTCAAAAAAATTGGAAAAAGTTGAGCCACGACCAATGAATCACAAGGATTCATTTTAATTGAATTTTCCGCGTTCATGATTTCCATGGATCCCATTGCTTCTTCTTTAAATCACATTCAAACAATTGACTGCTAATATTCCTTTGAACCACTAGAATTCCAAACTCCAAATGTTGACTTCTAGTAGTAATTGACTCAGACACAAGCATGTGCACTACTATAACATAACATGTTACTGTTTGTAGTCCTACCATGAGGAAGACTAAAATCTAAATTGGGATTCTCATAGCTCTGCATTCACATTCAAATTTGCAGAGTTTCTATCCCTTCTAAAATTCCAAACTCCAAATATTGTAAGACTTCTAGTAGCAATTAACTCGTACTCAGACAAGTGGATTCGTCTCTACATACACAATGCGTCACCCCTTTTATTTTAATAATTTAGGAAACCACACAAGTTGGATTTGTGGCCGATGATATTGATCGTATTTCCATTAATTTAATGAAACAAACGGCAGTATTCTTGTTTGCATCAACAATCAAACAACTTGAAATATAATATTTTAAGCAAAATTGATCAACAACTAGATATTTACAAGAACAATATTAATATCATTGAGAAAATATCCCAAATTCCCAATCATAAAATCAATCAGAAGCAGAGTATATGTAAAAAACTTGATAACAAATTGAATCCAAATAACATCTAAGAAACAAAAAGACAACATATAAGAAAAAAAAATTGTTTATCCTGGATGCCTCAACTCGAAGAAAAAAAAATACAAAATCAAATTTACCCTCATAAAGCTTCTGGTGGATTATTCATAAATCATGATCAACCTCAGCCATGAGTATTGACAGCATCCCATAGCAAATTCCGAGCCTGCATCGCCGCATCCCTAAGAGTCTTGATCGTTGACACATTAGCCTCGTAAAAAGTCAAGCTTCTATAAGGCAAATTGTGCTTCTTGCAAAGGTCTCTCACGAGCGGAGATATCCTCCTCAAATGGCACCGGGGCAAACGAGGGAACAAGTGGTGTTCTAGCTGAAATTGCAAACCACCATGGAACCAATCCATCCAAGCCGAGCACGATATATCAATCGTCCCACTCGTCTGTTTCTCAAACCAATTGTCCCCCTTAGGTGGTCCGACATAAACATTAGCCGAAAAATGATTCAAACAGAACTGAATGTGCTGAATTGAGGTCACAATAAAGCTCACAAGCACAAACAACACCCTCTCTGTCCAATTGGGTAAGCAAGAAACAAGAAGAGGAAACCATGTCCAAAACACAAGTATTCCCAATATGTTCATAGCTCTATTGGGTACTTTTCGGTTCGAAAACAACAACAAAAAGGTCTGTAAAAACAGGTTAATTCGACCCACACACATGACAGGGTAAAATGTATAATGCTGATAACTCACAAAGAACTTAGCAACGGGATCAAATGTCAATTCTCTATCGTAAAAACACGAAGTTATCGATTTGAACAAGCTCGTAGACACAGCGAAAAAAGGGAGATGTTGAAGATCAGGATCATAATCAAGACTATTACAAGCAATGTGGTGAGCATTGTGAGTCCACTTCCACCAAGCAATGCTGATCCCAGTTAAGCAATTCCCAGTTAGAATTTGAACCAAATTGTTAAACCCACGACTCGTCATAATATTATAATGCCCTGAATCATGACCTAGATAGGTTACTTGAACCCAAGCAAAACCTAACAATCCACCACAACCCATATGAACCCAGAAACTATCTGAACAAAGGACACCAGAAATCGCAGAAACAAAGAGAAAAACAACGAAACAGAGAGAGTAAATCACAGTGTGTTCTTTTTTCTCGAACATTCCAGCTTTCGTGAACTCGGAAGCGAGTCTCCGATAATCTTTAGAGACCTCGGAGACCTCGAAATCGATTAAGTGGTAACCAGTGAAGAGATTATCAAGGTGTTTCCAAGCAGTACCTGGATGGAAAGCAATGAAAGCGTCTGTGGCGTCTTGGCCAGACAAATTCAGGAGTGGGATATCCCCACCCGGGTGTTGGTTAGCCCAATCCGTGACATTGTAAACTTTTCCTTGGATTGAGATCCACAAATCACCTGGCTTGTTGTGTTTCTTCAACTCTTCTTGGGTTATGTACTTTTTCTTAACCTCCATTATCAAAACTATTACAACTACAACAACAACAACAACACGATATATATATATATATATATATGTCTATTCAATGATCAAAACAACCCCTGAATGGGGTGTTTTGTTTTGATGATTTGAATCGATTGTGATGATATATATATATAACGTTTTTTTCTTCTTTTTTTTTTTTGTTGGTTTTTTGTTCTGTAAATTCTGGGTTTTGAATTTCAGATCTAGATTTTGAGAGAGAGAGAGAGAGAGAGAGAGAGAAATGTATGATAACAGGAGGGGAGAGAGAGAGTATATGTAGAGAGACAGAGGAGAGAGGGGGGTATGAAAGGCAAGGCAATTGCGGAGCGACCTAGTCGGAAGAGGAGAGAGGGGTGTGGGACCCACGTGAGGCAGTCGTGGATGAGGAGCTTGGAACACGTTCTAGGAAGAGGAGAGATGTCATACGCCAGGCCATATAGCTGGTGGGACGAATTTTCCACGTCTCTAAATGAATCGTACTGTACTCATACTATGGGTGCGAATTTTTATCTATAAAATTTATCATTAAATTTAAATTTAATAAAAAATAATTTTTTTCTTAGTTTCAATAATTTCATTAAATCGATATTAAATTTAAGATTTTATTTTTTTATTAAGTTAAGAATCAATATATCTTTCATCAAATTTTATTTATTATCGTTAGATTTTCATTACTGGATGTCTTCGGATGTCCTTCTGGATGATCACCTCAAGATAAAAGTTTATGAAAAAATTACACTAACTATCTCAATAAGAAAAATTATAAAAAATTTACACTGACCAATTGACCGATCGAACATCTATCCGATCGTTTGTCTGGTCAACCAGTAATTTGACGAACGTTGAAGATCTTGATATTAAAGAGAATTTTTTCTCAAAATTTTTCTCAAATTTAATAAAAAAATTAATATACCATTAAAGACGCCGTAAGTGACTCTATTAATATCACCACATAGGAAGAATTTTCCACGTCTAAACTAACCGTACTCATAATAGGAGTGTAGATTCAAATTTTTAGCATGATTTTTTATATACAATTAAGTGGCTTTACTACGTCCTCGTTGGGCATAAATCAAAATAAAATTTTTAGTTAAAATAATTATAAAAAGATAAAATAAATTGTTAAATTTAATAAGATAAAATATTACATCTAAATCATAATTATTTTATTTTTCTTTCACAAAAATTAAAAAAGTCAAAAATCTATCCCAAACGAAATTTTTTAATCTCAAACTAAAATAATTAAAAAATCAACTCACATCTTAAACGAATCCTCCATAATATAATCATTTAGAACCCTACATAATAAAATCATTTCGGATTTTGACTCCTTAAATTGTGTTTAATTTAAAAAAAAATTAAAAAAAAGAAAGAGATAAATAAAATATATTATTATTTCACTTAATTTTATATATCTTCTATTTTTTTTTAAAAAAAATTCTTCTAAAATTATTGAACCAAACATAATCTTAAAATATAATTCTAGAAATCACTCCAACGTGATTAGACTCTTAATTTTTATTTGATTCAATAATTTGAAAAGAAAAATAAAATATAAATATATTTTATTTATAATTCACCGTCTTATTTTCTCATTTCACATCTCTCTTCAAATTCTTAAACCAAAAATGCTCTCTCTTCAAATTCTTAAACCAAAAATGCTCTTATAACGTTACACGCGCTTCCACTTTGTTTTTATCACGCGTAGAGAAGAAGAATAGCAGTACCTAAGTAAACCTCGAAATTGAAACTTGAGAGACCCATGAATCATAAAAGGGCAACTTGAGGGACCAGTTGATGGGAATTAATCAGATGCGGTCAGTTGTATTGTGGTTACTGTGGTACTGCCACTTTAATTTCTTATTTTTTTATCATATTAAATTTGAATTTAAAAAAAAAATTAAAAACCAAACTAAATAGGGGTTTTTTTTTTTAAAGTCCCTCGTATTAAGATTTTATAATAAAAAAGACATCTAATATTTTCATAATGTGTAAGGTTCCTCAAGTTGATCTAGAGAAAATTGGTCCAGAGAAAATTCACGTCACAGAGAAAATTAGTCCAGAGAAATTCTCTCTGGACTTTCCAGAGAAATTTTGAAAATTTCTCTGTCCTTTCCTAAACTATCCACTGTAAATTTCTCTGCCCTCCCTTTTTCCAAATTTCTCTACCTTCCATATACTTCGCACCATCCTAGAGAAATTTCTCTGCCTTTTCACAAAATTACATCTCCAGAGAAATTTGTAATTAATTCTCTGATTTATATATGTAATGTTGTTGTTGGTTCTGGTTCTGTAAAAGAAACTTTTTGAGAGCATCTCTCACAATTGTGTGAAATTTCACTGAGAAACTTGTAGCTTGGGAAATTCTCACAGCTACTTTTAAATTTCTCTGATTTGAGAAATGAAGGGAAAATAAACAATCATAAGTAACTTCAAATTTGATTTTTGATTTGTTTTAACTTATTAACAGTTGTTGGAATAAATTTATGTGATGATTAGTTTTTTGAAGATGTATTCAGGAATTTCACTGAATTTCATAAAATAATGTGTCTTTTTGATCCAGAGAAAATTACTTAAAATGAATCCAAAGAAATTTAAATTTTCTCTAGTTTATAAATGAACCCAGAGAAATTTGAATTTGAATTTAAACCCAGAAAAATTGGTCAAAACGAACCCAGAGAAATTTGGAAATTCCAGAATTTCTCTCCAATTTACTAACCATTTTCTTTGTACGTTGACTCAATCAGAAAAAATTGATTAAAAATCTAACACAATTTTCTTTCGTTTGCTCACCCATATCTCCATTTTCACACCAACCCACCAACTAAATCTCCTTCTGAATAGAAGCATTGGCAGCTTCAAAATCCTTATCCATCAAATGAGGCCATGCAGACTGAGGCAAACCCAGTGGCCTCGCATATCTTCCATTATTATTCTCGAACCCACCTCCATTAACAACTCTCCATCCTCTATTTTGGCCCATCATCTGTTGGTGAAGCTGGTTTTGCGGTGAAAACAAAATTTCTCTGGTTTGTCTTCCCTAAATCGAAGAAGAGCACTGTTGTTTCATCGTTTGGTCATTTCTCGCTTGCTCAAACTGCAAAACAAAACAAAAACAAAACCCAAAAATCAACAAACTAGATGAGAAGAGGGAACAAGTATACACACATTATGAGACTTACTCACATGATTGGACTGTGAGAGGTTGTGAGAGAGGCACTGATTGACATAGAAAGAGGTGTTGATGTTTTTCAGAGACGGTGGAGCGAGAGACCAAGGAGGGCCGAGAAGGCCTCTGGCTTTGGGAGGTCCTTCATCGTTCATCTTCAACCTCGCCACCTGTCCCGCGACCTCGTAAATTAGATCCCAAGAGTCGTTGTGTTCCACCCGGCGGTGTAGTCAGCGGTGATCCATCGAACTCGGCGATCTACTTTTGTTCTTTACTTTGCTATTTGCGAGAGAGAAAGAAGATAGAGGCTTTGTGATCAGCGATTTGCGAAAGTCGAATAAAGAAGGGCGTCTGGTGATGGTGATCAAAATGAGGTAGACAGAGAGAGAGAGAGAGACAAAAGTCAAATTTCTCTGATATATGTTTAGGGACTTTAGACATTAAAAAATAATTTTGTGGATCTCTTCCATTACGAAAAGTGGGAGAAGGACCCTAGACTAATTTTCCCAACTAAATATGACTATTAAATTTAAAAAGGTAAAATAATTATATTTTCCCAAAATAGCAAGTGATCAAGGACATTGATGCATATATTTTAAATAAAAACTTATAAATCTCTATAATAATAAATACAATCAAACATCTTGTATATTTGTTTGTCTTAATCTTTTTTTCTCATTATAAGGAGTGTAATTTATTATAAGTTAAAAATTAATAATTAAAAAATAAAGTAAAAACATTCATCTCTTATTTTTTAGATAATCAACTTATTAAAATTATTTATGTCTTATAAATTATTAAAAAAAAAATTGTATTAAATAATATGACACAAATCTTTAAAAAAAAATAAAAAAAAATATAAACAACTTATACATCAAACAACCCATTATTGTTTGTAGTATAGAAAGAACTTCAAAAGGAAATATGGTACTGGGTATCCAAACTAAGGGTTATTTTGAAAAGATAATTAAAAATTTATTTTTTGACGCTTTTTATTATTTTATGTGAGAATTGATATGATTCAAAATAGATTCAAAATAAATTAAAAATTTACTTTTAATTTTTTATGCATGTTGCCAAAACAACCTTAAAATTATCTATCATTCTCATTCAAATCAACATGCATTTGAAGTTGTACACCATTGTTACCATGGGCTGTGTAGTAGGATAGAGCTATCCAACTTTTTTGAATTTTTTTTTATGTAGATCGTAACTTTTCGTTAAATGGGTAATCAATTGCTAAGATATTTTGGGCAAGTGGGCCAGAGGGGACATAGATGATGGGGCGGGCAGCATATATGCTCATCTCAAATAAATATCTTGAAACCAACGTTGTCCAACGACACCGCCCAACACCGACTGTACCCAAACTATTCTTTGCTTTTTTAAAAAAGAAAAAAATTCTATAATCCTTTTTAAATTTGGAATTTTTTTTAACATTTTGTCAAAATATTTAAAAGTTGAAATTTTTGTTTAGAAACTATTAATTAATAATTTTGAAGCACTTATGAATTATATGAATCGTCATCAACACATTTGAGATGGCCAAGATTGTTTTTGTTTAATTTTAATATATGTTAATTTTTGAAATAAATTAAAAAGAACCTTGAAATATGAAAGTCTAAAATTAAAATAAAAAAATCAAATACAAAAAGAGCAAAATATAATTTATCTAAGACAAATGCTAATAAGTGTCTCATACATTGTTTAATGTTAGAAATTGTGTAAAAAAATATCTTAAAAATATGTGAAAATATTAAAAAATATATTAGATTAAATAAAAAAAAATATATGGTGTTATTTAATTTAATTTTTTTAATCTTTTATTCGTGCTTTAGAAACAATAATTAGCAAAACCTTTTATCTACATAACTTTTATAGCTGAATCTCAAAGGACACATAAAAACCCATTACACAAGTTTATTTATTTTTTGATAGAATATTTTAGGTCATTTTAAAATTAAATTTTTATGATTCGAATAAATCCTTCAAAAACAAATTTATTTCTTAAAAAAAAAAATCTTCAAGTCTCAACCCTTATCCGCCAAGTCAAATCTTTAAATTTACA